AGCTGAGGTTGGGGCAGCTGGGGGAACTGCTGCTGATACTGATACTGGGAGACCTGGTGCAGTACGTGCTGTTGATAGAGTTGAAGTTGTTGGAACTGTTGCATTTGAGTCTGCATGGCCCTCATGCACTGCACCAGGTCCTCCAGCTGGTTCGAGCTGGCCGCTGGGGGCATGACCGAAGGTTCGGTGAACGTCGTTCTAACTGTAGCAAGGAGTGGGGCGATGACAGGTGCCATTGTGAGAGGCACGTTCAAGCTGGGGATTCCGTCCGCTGAGAGGGGGACGGTGAACTGTCCAATACAAACAGTAGGAAGCTGGGGTTGTTCCCTGGAGTTATCCATTTCCGTGCTTCGTTTGACGTTGCTAGAAGAAGCCATGAGCGCTGGATTGTTTCAAAGAAGAAGAAGGAACTGATCGAGTTTGGAGGGAAAGGCTTTTTGAAGTGTTCCCATAGACGGCGCCAAATGATGTAGCACAATCCGGTCACTCCTAGCTGGTGCTCGCGTGGCTCCTGAGATGTACCTGAAACGATAAGAAGGAGGAAGAACTCCCGGGGGGTTTCCCGGCGGGAACGCTCCGATGCTTAAGTTAGTACTGTGTGCAAGAAGCTAAAAGAGAGTGAACACTAAGAGTGCAGGTTGCGCTAGCTATTCCAAATGCCCTGTTCCTTGAGGATAAGTTCCTTATAGCTAAATTCCGTTGCTCTGGGCCCTCTACCACAGCCGTTACAGGCAAAGCTGAGGTGGCACGCGCGGGGCCGTCGTGCAGGATACGTGTTTGTCAAGTGTGGGACGCCTTTCTAAAGGTGGCAGGCGCAGCGAGGGGACATGCCTACAATTCACAGGTTTGTCGGGTACGGTGGTCGGGCAGGAAGCCCTCCTACGGCATACCGAGCTATTCTCCTGCGAATCCCCCTGAGCTGGGCCGTCCCTTGAGTGACGGGCTGCCTGCAGCTGGTTATGTCGAGCTAGCCGACCCGAGGTCTTTGTGTCTCGGGGCGTCCGAAGAAGAATCGGTGCATTCTTGCTTGGGAGTGGCCCGAGGTTCATTGGGAGGAGCTCGGGTCTCAAAAGGGGTCAGGGTGCCCCGAACTCGGGACCCCCCGAAGTGCCTTAACCCCGGGGAGGAGGTGCGGGCGAGGCGGCTTTCGATGAGTAGTTTACCTGTCGAGTTGCCGTGCTGAACTCGGTGGGACCTCCCCACCGAGTTGTGCTCATGTCCGTTGTGCTGTCATGCTGAGTCACTGTTTGAGCTAGGTCACGCTTACTTGTACCTGAGCTACGAGGTCGGGCCAAATCTCCCTCCATCAGTATATATGTAATATAATTATGGGTAAATTACTAAAACCCCCTGAAATTTTTAGTTATTGTTGAAAACTCTCATAAAGTTTGATAATTTCAATCACCTCTTCTAAACTTGATGACATAGTTGCATGTAGATCTCCTTTGCTAAAATCTTCTAAAAATAAGCATGAAAATGTCCAAAATATGCATATAGCTAATTTCGACCAAGACCCTTTGTTTTCAAATTTTCTTCTCATATCAAAATCTAGCCCAAACCATTTCAATTTCTTTTTGAAATTGATTTATTTTCAAATTTCACTTCATATCAATCATTCAAAGGTAAAGTTGTAATTTAAGTTCTCTATTTTTTGTTATTTATAATATTTGAATTAAATCGAAAATGTGATTGAAATAAGAGGCAACCCGGAATGCATGGCGTTCTCTCCAATGTGCGGTTGGAAAGCAAAGTTTTTAAAACCGATCTAGACAATAAACTGGTCAGGGGTCTGGTTCCCGGATTGAATGGTTCGACCGTTTAAATCGAACAAACAGACTGTTATGACAAAAAAATAAAAATAAAAAACGGCCAACCATTGAACGGTTTGAATGCCTGAATCAACAGTATGCTTACCAAATCAACTGTTTTGAGGAAAATAACGGTTCTTGAGTAAAACAGAACCGATCACCTAACGGAATCCTGATTTTTTCGGTCAAACCATCCGGTTCGATTTGATTTTGAAAACCATGCCGGAAAGGACAGATGTAAACAACTTACTCTTGTACAGGTTGTTTCCAAGATCAAACCAATTATTAAATTGCAAATGCAACAATCTAACTCTTTGCACCAACGCTCACAGACAAATAATCAAATGTAAATACAATTCTAGAAATTTCATAATTGGATATGGATTGGATCCGATCCTGGTATATCATTTGCGTATGGCGCTTCAATTTGGGCCGTTGGATGGATGAGAAAAAAAAGGTCTAAACAATCACACAGGTATGTTCATCATCGTATATACAGATGGAGATGGTTTGGTGTGAAATCCACCAGAAAAGAAACGAGGATCTGGATCCCACTACTGCATCTGCATGTGCATCATGTGGGCGGCATTGATGGTAAGATGGTTCATTACCCACTTGGTCTCTTTCACTATCCATTCAGATTTTACATTCTTGCACAAAAATCACATGATCAGTTGATCTGATCACCTGGTGAATTATATTGTGTAAGGTGTCTGATAAACTAATATTTCTGTCGTCTTTTAGTTATTATTCTCTTGATATACTTGGCCACTCATCTAATGCCATCCGTTTGATTGGCCAAGGTGTCTGATACCAATACAAGATGACTTGTGAGTGTTAAGAAGATCCCAATCTGGCGAAGAAATGCTTCCTCATGTGGCAAAATTTTCACCAATAATCCTTTCATGATGAGCCCAATCACTAATCTACAAATTTTCTCACCTATTTTAGGTTTTTATTTTATTTTATTAAATTTTCAGCTTATCACATCATCGCACATGAAGGCCGGGAGGTGGCAAGATTAGTAGGTAGCCTGGTTTTCTTTTCTCTGTGCAGGAACCTTTTGTAATTTGTAGTTTTGTACAATTAAAGAATCTCGTCTGTACCCCGAAATCCACTCTCTGTGGTTGCTGTCCCGCCACTGATATTTCCTCAACCACTTTCCAATTCCCTCCCTCCTGGGCTGTCGCTCTCTAAATCCACTTCTTTGTCCATTGGCTCTTCTCGCTTCCTCTTCTTGTAATCCTTCAATTTGTTTTCTTTACAACGAGAAGACTTCCATGGATTGATGGGTTAAGTTCTGATAGCAACTCTAAGCCTCTAACCCGTAACAATGCGTACTTCAGCTGTATCTCAAGAGCCCATGAATTTTGTCGACGTTTTGTACAAGTTGGATTGTTTTCCCTTGGATTCTAGAGGTTTTTACCACTTAGGTTCTAATGGGTACTGCTCGATTTTGTCGAGTTTCTTGCGCAGTGATGGATTTGGGGGTCTGGCTGGGGAGAAGAAGAGACCCAAGGTGGTGGCTTCCTTGGGTTTGAGCAGGGGTGTTTCAAGGGTACAGAGGATTTGGAATGAGTTCAATAGGGCTGTTAGGATGCACTGCGAGAGGATCCCAATTGGGTTTGCTTCCGTTGGTGTGTCTACTGGGGAGAACGGGTTGAGAGAAGATGGATGTGGTGTCCTGGAGGAAGAGGGGATGAACTTGAATGGGGTTGAGGCGGTGAATCCAAAAAGGGTTCTGATTTTAATGAGTGACACTGGTGGTGGCCATAGAGCTTCTGCCGAAGCTATCAAAGCGGCCTTTGATGAAGAATTTGGAGATGAATATCAGGTCAGTTCGACTTGGCTTCCATCAATGTAGGATTTATTCGATTATTTTCTGATAATGTTGAGTGTGTTAAGAGTATATGGTGCAGGTCTTTATTACGGATTTGTGGACGGACCACACCCCATGGCCGTTTAATCAATTGCCCAGGAGCTATAGCTTTCTGGTGAAGCACGGACCACTCTGGAAGATGACGTATTATGGATCTGCTCCGCGGTTGGTGCATCAATCCAATTTTGCTGCGACTTCGACGTTTATAGCTAGGCAAGTCTCTTCTTCCCTTTATTTAAATTCTTACATTTAAATCTTGTGATGTCATTCTGTATTGGCATCGGTAGAGAAGCCTTGTTGATTAACAACTGAAACACAATGAAACCCGTGTATTAGCAGCTTACAGAACAAGCCCAAAATTAATGATGTCTTTACTCTTCCGAGAAGAAATATATGTGAGAATAAGGAACTTCTATATAGCTACGGGGTAACATCTCTGAATTCTTAGGAAATTCCATCCAGTGATTCAATGATATAATATTGTAAACATAGTTTTCAAGGTGCCAAGGCGACTAGGCAATGGWTTTTTTTTTTTAAGTAAAAATCACATATCCTAGGGTAGTTCYBTAGGTTCCATARCMAACTTTCTTTAATMAYTATCCATAATTTTCATAAGAAAATTATAAACTTCATGTTTAAGTCTAGAAAATCAACATATTTATGAGAAGAAAAAGAAGGAAAGAAAATAAAAAAAATATAGGGGCTGAACCCCTATTTTTGTTATAGGAAAAGAAAAGAAAAGGTGGAAGAAGAAGGAATGTGTTGATTAGACAAAATTTTAAGTTCATCCCTGATAGGTCCTAGCCAAAGCTAGAAAGGAAAGACTATTCTTCTTAAGGTGAGAATAAAACCGTAAGGTTTATTTAACTTCCAACTGCCCATCCATGTGGTTGGATGGTGTTTAAATACAAGAAATTCTAACTGTCTACCACTGAGATAGCCTCAAAGTAAGGGATTAGCCTTCTAACTACATAGCCGATCCCTATGCCATCTCATAATAACAAATTAACAAGAATAACAAACTAACCTATTTGGCCGATTCTCATGCCATGTCAAACTAACAATCAACAACTTAACAACCTAACTTCTTAACCGGTTCTTGTGGCTAGCAACCTGACCTCCCTGACCGATTCCTGCTCTACTGGGCCATTGCATGGGCCATGCATGATGGCTTTTATTCTACGTATTTTGGGTTGCGCGTAGGCACCCTGTTCGACCTTCGTGGCCCATCATTGCCCCCATCTTGCAGATGGACCTTGTCCTCAAGGTCCAGATTGATGTACTTCTCGCGCAGCTCTTGAGAATTTTCCCATGTGGCATCTTTGTTGGGAAGATTCTTCCATTGGACGAGGCTTTCTTCCACGAAGGTGGATCCTTTCTTCACCCAGCGGGTATCCAGAATGGCTGCCGGTTCTGTGACAAGTTCTCTATCCTCATTTATGGGCAGTAACTCGGTGCTAGTGGCAGTGGTTTCGCCCACCTGTCTTTTGAGTAGGGAAATATGGAAAACTGGGTGGATGCGCGAGCCTTCGGGAAGTCGAAGTTTATAGGCCACCTTGCTGATTCGTTCTTCAATTTGGTACGACCCATAATAGCGACTGGCCAGCTTGTGATAGGCTCGCCTATGAACAGTCTACTGTCGGTACGGGTGGAGTTTGAGGAAGACCAGATCTCCTACTTGGAATTCCATGTCTCTTCTTTTGGAGTTAGCCATTTGGGTCATGCGGTTAATCGTTGCATGTAGGTTGATTTTGAGTTGCTGCAAAATGGTATCTCGTGAGAGCATGGCTTGATCTACCTCTTCTACCGGGGATGTTCCGCCTTGGTAATTTGGAATACGAGGTGGTGGTCTTCCATAAAGGGCTTGAAAGGGCATCATTCCGATAGAGGAATGGTAGGTGGTGTTATACCAAAATTCTGCCCAYGGGAGGAAGGAGCTCCACTTTCGAGGTTGTTGGAAAACAAAGCAACGAAGATACTGCTCTAGACAACGATTGACCACTTCGGATTGTCCATTAGTTTGGGGGTGATAGGCGGAGCTCATGTGCAATTTGGTACCGGACATTTTGAAGAATTCCCGCCAAAAGTGGCTGACGAAGATAGGATCTCTGTCGCTAATGATTGTCTTTGGCATACCGTGGAGCTTCACAATTCCTTCTATAAACCTTTCGGCTACTAATTTCGCCGTATAGGGGTGTGGTAAGGCCAAGAAATGAGCTGATTTAGTAAGACGGTCTACTACCACAAAAATAGTGGTTTTACCCTTGGAGGGTGGTAGACCTTCTATAAAGTCCATGGTAATGTCGTCCCATACTTGGCAGGGAACGGGTAATGGCTGTAGTAGTCTTGCTGGGGATAAAGTGTCTGCCTTATTTTTTTGACAAATGACGCAAGAGGCCACGTATTTCTAGATATCTTTATACATGGAGGGCCAATAGAGCTGTTGTGCCATACGCTTGTATGTTCTTAGTACCCCCGAGGTTCCACCATATGGGTAGTCATGAAATTCTTGTAAGAGGGTAGGGACGAGGTGGGATTGAGGAGGGATCACGACCCGGTTTTTGTAAAATACCAGTCCATTCTTCCATGTGTAGGGAACTCTAGGACTCTCCGTTGCAAGCTTGCCGATGCGGATCATGTAAGGGTGAGTGCTGGCTTCTTTCTTGACGGTGTCCCACAGAGATGTTTGAGGAATAAAAAGAGTATTAAGGCTAGGACTGCCTAGTACTCTAGATAGAGCATCTGTTGGACACCCGTCCAGGCTTGTAAATGATCTCATAGTCATACCTGAGCAGTTTGGACACCCACTTCTGTTGTTCTGGTGTCCCAATGCGTTGCTCTAAGAGATACTTGAGGCTGTGCTGATTGGTTTGGACGTAAAATTTTCGGCCCAACAAGTAAGGTCGCCATGTCCGTATTGCCTGAACAATGGTGAGCATCTCTTTGGCATAGGTGGACCAAGTTTGTTTGTTGACGCCCAGAGCTCGGCTCATGAATGCTATGGGTCGTTCATGTTGCGTCAATACTGCTCCAATACCTGCCCCGGATGCATCTGACTCAATGATAAAAGGCTCATCAAAATTAGGCATTGCTAGCGTGGGGGTCGTGGTCATTGCTTTCTTCAAGGCTGTAAATGCCTCTTGGGCTTCGGTGGTCCATCGAAATTCACCCTTTTTGAGAAGATTAGTGAGGGGTTGAGCGATGATCCCATAGTTGCGGACGAACTTCCTGTAATATCCTGTAAGGCCTAAGAAGCCGCGCAAGTCAGTAACATGAGTGGGTTGAGGCCATTTAAGCATAGCCTCAATTTTCCCTTGGTCTACTTTGACCCCTTGGGAAGTGACAATGTGTCCCAGGTACTCCACTTCTGGCTGGCCGTATATACATTTACTAAACTTGATAAAAAATTGGTGATGCCTTAAAACCTCAAAAGCTGTTCTAACATGTTCAAGATGCATGCTCCAGTTGGGGCTATAAATAAGAATATCATCAAAGAAAACTAGCACAAACCTTCGGAGATAGGGACGGAAAACATAATTCATAATAGCCTGAAAGGTGGAAGGTGCATTACACAGGCCAAAGGGCATAACCAAGTACTCATAGTGACCATTGTGTGTGCGAAATGCCGTTTTATGAATGTCATGTGGGTGGATCCGTACCTGATGGTATCCGGACCGTAAATCAAGTTTAGTAAAGGAGGCTCCATATAGTTCATCTAGTATATCGTCGACAGTTGGAATAGGAAATCGATCCTTAATGGTCACGGCATTGAGTGCCCTGTAATCGGTACAGAAACGCCAAGTCCCATCCTTCTTTTTAACTAGCAAGACAGGGGAAGAAAAGGGACTTGTGCTAGATCGTATTAGCCCCAACCGTAACATGTCCTGTATTTGTTTTTCTATCTCAGCTTTTTGGAAATAGGCATACCTGTACGGGCGGACATTGACGGGTTCCGTTCCTTTTTTGAGATTGATGCGGTGGTCGATCTCTCTCCGTGGTGGCAGCTGTGTGGGCTCTTGGTAGAGGTCTTGTATTCGGCCAGTAGTTGCTGCATATCCGGGGGTAGTTGTGGTGACACTTCTTCCGTGACTGCTTGGAGACAGACGGCAAATAGCGAATGTCCCTGCTTTATCCCCTTTGAGATTGCTTTGAAGGATGCAGGCTGAATCGGTTGGTTGTCGATCCCCTTCAACAGCCGGTGTTGGTTGGCCCAAGAAAACTCCATCGTCATTTTCTTCCAATCACATGCCACTGTGCCCAATTGCTCGAGCCAATGGATTCCTAGTACCATATCCAACCCAATCAGTGGTAAAGAATAAAGCGTTAAGGTGAACGGGATACCTTGTAGTAAGACGTGCACATTTTCAAATCTTCCTCGGCACTTAAGGGGTTTGCCATTGGCTACTTTGACATTGAAGGGCTCGGTAGGCACTACCGGTAATTGCAGCAGTTCGGCTATTCTGTTGTTGATGAAGTTTTGGGTGGATCCACTATCGATAAGAACAATCAGTTCGTGGTATCCTACCTTGGTCGTGATACGCATGGTTCTAGCCGTCTCCGGTGAGTAGTAACAGCTGCGGCCCCTTGCATTTGTGTTCGGGCCCAAATTTCTCGTCGCAGTTGAAACACAGACCTTGAACATGCCTCCTCTGCATCTCTGTCCAAGAAAGACGCTTCAGTGATGTAGTCGTCTTCGTCTTTGTCAGGAAAGAGTCACCGGCGGTCCTGGTGGCTGTATGCAGGGTCTTCTCATGACGACGCAGCTGTTCATCCTTCATTCGTGCCAGGCTGATAGCTTCCTTCAAGGATTTCGGTTTAAACATCCGAATCCCGTCGGCTATGTCCGTTTTGAGACCTCCCATGAACGTACCCACCAACGCCTTTTGGGTCCATCTGTGCACCCTATTGCCCAATCTTTCGAATTCCTTCTGATACTCCTGCAGAGACTCCATTTGTCGTATTTTTGATAACGACTCATCGAAGTCTTCGCAGTCAGTTGGGCCGAAATGAGCCCAGAGTTCTTCTACAAAAATCTTCCACGTTACCTCCTTTCTGTCTTCGCGATAGGCCCGACGTAACCATTGCCACCATTGGTTTGCTTCTTCAAATGGAAGGAGGCGAGTGATACCTTCTGTGGTTCCTCGGTGTGCTGGTATTCGAAGAATTGGTCAACACGGGCGAACCATTCGGTTGGGTCATCATCGGAATACTTGGGAAACTCGAGCTTGGCTAATTTCGAGGAGAACATGGGTCGTCCTTCTTCTGTATTGTCACGAGAAGGTCCGGAGGAGGACTGTCCGCTGTGACCATTAGCGTGGCTCAGAGATGGTTCCTGCCGAGTCAACAAGGCTTCGGACATCCTACTAATAGCTGCCTCGAGCTGGTGTTACTTGTCATTAACACCTGACTCGAGCCTGCTCAAATTTGCTTGGAGTCCCTCGAACCCAGCTTCCAAACTCTCTATTCTCTCTTTGTTAGTGGCCATGGTGCCTAGCTCTGATACCAATAATAGGTCCCAGTCAAAGCTAGAAAGGAAAGACTATTCTTCTTAAGGTGAGAATAAAACTGTAAGGTTTATTTAACTTTCAACTACCCATCCATGTGGTTGGATGGTGCTTAAATACAAGAAATTCTAACTGTCTACCACTAAGATAGCCTCAAAGTAAGGGATTAGCCTTCTAACTACATAGCCGATCCCTATGCCATCTCATAATAACAAATTAACAAGAATAACAAACTAACCTATTTGGCCGATTCTCATGCCATGGAAAACTAACAATCAACAACTTAACAACCTAACTTCTTGACTGGTTCTTGTGGCTAGCAACTTGACCTCCTTGACCGATTCCTGCTCTACTGGGCCATTGCATGGGCCATGCATGATGGCTTTTATTCTACGTACTTTGGGTTGCGCGTAGGCACCCTGTTCGACCTTCGTGGCCCATCAATCCCTCACTTATTGGTTCAGATTTTGAAGTCATTGAGGGTTCAATACAGAAGTTAGCAATGTTTGTGTTGATTAAGCCCTAACAAATAAGAAAATAATAAAAATAAATTAGTTCATAAACACAAAAAATGAATATTTTTCTTTAATAATGTCTATTTTATAATTATAATCTAAAAAAAATAACAATATAAAAGTATTTTATTACACAGTATGCAAAACTTCTTGGCGACTGGGCGAGGCGAGCCTCTAAGGGCGCCTTGCCGCCTAGGCGGTCGCCTTGACAATTATGATTGTAAAATTGATGAACCTTCTAATTGTTATTTTGATTTGCACAATTTCATGGTACACAGTGCATATTAACCATGTTGATGTCCCAAACAATATTCCCTGGATTCCCTAACCAGCGCACCACCTTGGAATCCCTTCAATAATCAAGTTGTCCACATTCATATGTCCCCAGTTATCTGCACTCCTTAAGTATGGCATGGAGTTCCTGTCCCTAGAACCATGCTTAGTTTAAAAGGAAAAGACCGGAAATTTGTTAAATGCTGGATTTTAAAATTAGCTTACCTTTTGGTAGCTTGAAAGGTATCATAGCAACCAACACATTCTTTTCTAGTTGACACCTAGAGGCTTTTTCTGTCTAGAATAGTTCTATAGTATGTCTTTTGGTGTAATACCAATGAACTCGATACAGAAACGAATAAAACACAATTTTCTTAAGTGTTAAATTTTAACATTAGATAGCTGATGGATGTTATAACAAGTCCTTGGAGTACATGGCAGTATGGTTAGGATTTATGCTTGACAGATTTTGCAGTTAAAGTTTCCAAGACTTCATTCTATGCTTGATTGCACGTTCCATGCAATGTTCTACATGCTCTCATCTGAGTCATCTCTAAAAAGAAAATAAAAATCAGTTGACAGCTAGATGACAACACAAGTGCATGTATTTTTCTTTATATTTAATCAACTTGCAGAGCCATTTCATTCCTCCTTTTAGTTAGGTTGAATTATTGGTGCAAGCCATCTATTTTCTAATACATATAACATGAATTCTTCCATAAAGGCATAAACTCTCTTATCACCTATCCAGATTGTCATTTTGTTCTTCCTTTTAATGAAATTTTCTTTTTTTTACTTATAAAAAAACACTCTTAAATTTGATTTTTTCTATGTGAAAAGTTTAGTCTCTATGATGTAATGTATTGTGTCTTGGATCTTGGATTTTTACCTGTTTGTGTGGTCAACAAACCACTTACAAAATTCAAGAGTTCATTCTTAGAATATATAGGTTCTTTTATAGGCTGAAAGTGATGAGGAGGATAGTTCTGGGGAGGAGCAGGAAAAGAATTCATCTCTTTCTTCTTTCTTAATATTTTTTTTCTTTATTTGTCTTAAAAAAATATTGTAATAGGAGTTTACTGTTTCCTTTTTTGATTGTTTATTTGTTGTTTAATTCTCTAAATCAAACAGCTGGCTTATAGGGTCTTTTCTTTGGGTGTTTAGTTATGTTGTGAGAGCAGTATGGTCTCTTGGCATTCTTTTCAAGGGGCGGATATTGACCTTGAGACGCTAATACCAAGCTTTTCTATTTTAGCTGATTTTTAAACTAAGATCATTATCAGTAACTATATTTTGTGAAATTGAGATAAACTCTTGACATGTACAACTTTTGTATAGTATTATTTTTTTGAAGATAAAAGAAAATTTATTAAAAGAAAAAGAATTACAAGAAAGGCTATAAGCAATCACTCGAGAGAAAAGTCAACCCAAAGAAAAAACTCAGAAGGAACTAACAAAAGCTTTGATAGCATAAAGACTAATCCTTCTATCAAATCCCCACACATAAAACAAGAATACATTACAACCCAATAACATTAAAAAGCCTGCCCAATATCTGTCAAGAAACCCAACAGAAATTCTAACCTCTCCGAAATGGACATGACTTCTTTATCTCTTCTCTGTTCTTTTGAGTGTGTTCTTGTTTTTTTTTGATTGGCCTTTTGGGTTTCTTAACTAACTTGATTGGCCTTTTGAGTAGCACTTCCAAACAAAGGACCTTGGTAAATTAAAATATTTCTTGGGGATAGAAGTAGCAAGGTCTAAGAACGGTATTAATTTGTGTAAGAGGAAGTGTGTTCTTGATTTGTTGGAGGAAATAGGAATTCTAGGTGCTAAACCAGTTGAAACACCTATGGAACCAAATATCAAATTGAGTAGTGATGTGGGTGAGGAGTTTGAAGATCCCGGAAKGTATAGGCGGTTGGTGGGTAAACTAAACTACCTAACCATTACTCGGCCAGATATTTCATTTATRGTTAGTGTGGTGAGTCAGTTTATGCAAAATCCTTGGGTTCCACATTGGGATGCAGTTTTAAGGATTGCAAGGTAATTGAAGGGAGCTCTTGGTTGTGGCTTGTTATACAAAAGTGGAGGAAATATTGAAATAGAAGGATACACCGATGCTGATTGGGCTGGTTCTGTATCTGACAGAAGGTCCACTACAGGTTATTATACCTTTCTTGGGGGTAATTTGGTGACATGGAAGAGTAAGAAATAAACAGTGGTGGTAAGAAGTAGTGCAGAAGCTGAATACAAAACCATGACACATACAACTTGTGAGCTATTGTGGTTGAGAAATCTTCTATAGGAGATGAGGTACTCAATTGACACTTCAATGAAGCTTTATTGTGACAACCAAGCTGCAGTCCACATCTCTTTTAATCCAATTTTTCATGAGAGAACAAAACATATAGTAATTGATTGTCACTTTGTGAGGGAGAAGGTGCTAAGTGGAGTGATAGCCATTGCATATGTTAACACAGGAAATCAATGGGCAGACTTATTCACCAAAGGGTTGAGTCAAGGAAGAGTGGGCTACATATGTAACAAGTTGGAACTATATGATATATACTCACCAGCTTGAGGAGGAGTGTTAGTGTCGACTGTATAGGAGTAGTTTTGTCAATTTGTTTATGTTTGGTGTGAGGTGTCATGTTTAAGTTAAGTGATGTGTCCCATACTTAAATAGGGGCACAACTGACCTTTTGTTTTTCATTAGAAAAGTATAAATACAATCTGACCGACTAGAGAGAATAGAACTCTCTCTAGTTCGAACCAGTTTTTCCTTCTCTCTTCTCTTCTCTTCTTCTTCTCTCTCTATCCTTTTTAGTTTTCTGCTACTGTTATTGCTTACTGAATTCTGGTGCAGGTCTGAACTTTATCATTACCCAATGTTGTTCCCAGCTATCTGGGGTCTTGGGAAGGGTGGACTGGATACATTCTAACCATTGGCATTTTTTTTTTGCACAAAGTGGCCGTTCTCAGACTCAAACCTGCATTCTCACACTTGACTGACCAAGATTTTACCAATGAACTTTCAGACCAAATAAACCCTAAATTAGATTTCAGATTTCTAATGTTTCAGTCCTGGCAATATAGAATAAGCCCTACATTTCCTCCTCAGATTATTCTCATGTAATCCCAAATGACATGATCATACTTCTTCAGTCTAAACTCTAAAGTCATGGCCTATTTCCTTCAACTGTTTTACATCATCCTGTATTTTTACATAAACCACATGTGCTTAAATTTACTGTAGTGTATCCTATATATGCATGCGTTTACAAAACCTTGTTTCTGCATCTGGCTGCGGTGACTTGATAAGTTCCATGAACCTTTTGATACATGTCTGTTGATTCTATATTGTATTTCTCTACAGAGAGGTTGCAAAAGGACTGATGAAATACCAGCCAGATATTATTATCAGTGTGCATCCCCTGATGCAACATGTTCCACTTCGTATACTGAAGGGAAAGGGTCTTCTGAAGAAGATTGTATTTACAACAGTTGTTACAGATTTAAGCACTTGTCATCCTACATGGTATGATCTGCATTTGTATTTAGTGTTCCTCCAATTGCTCATTTCTCTTGTAAATCATGTCCATCTTTCATTTGGTCATTGTTTTGGCCAGGTTTCACAAGCTTGTCACAAGATGCTACTGCCCAACAACAGAGGTGGCAAAAAGAGCATCGAAAGCTGGCCTTCAGCCTTCTCAAATTAAAGTTTATGGCCTTCCTGTGCGACCTTCTTTTGTTAAGCCTGTTCGACCTAAGGTTGACAGCCATCCTTTTTGAATTGCCTTTGATTCTTTTATTACTCATTCTATCCTATGTATCTTGCATAACAATTTTTAGTAAGGATGGCTAAGATATGTTGGGCATATCATAAGGACAATTTACCGTTTCCATATAAACTGATGCTATAAATATCTCAGGGGCTTGGCAGCCTCTATTTAATGCTTCTTCTAGATGTACTGCATCTTGCTAATATTATCAGGTCTATCTTACATGCTTAGCATACTCAGCTCAACATGATATGATACTAATGATGACACAACAAATCGATTCACTATAATGAACCTCATAAATGTTAGGACTTTCATTTAGCTGACAGGTAACAAGTCTTGAAGAATATGTAGCTTAAAAACTAAAAGGACAGTATCAATATAACAGACTGAGATATTCTTATCTGCAGTCTGTTCCTTGGATTTTGAGAATTGAAGAGTCTTACCCACTTTTCCCATCCCAGTCCTTATCGATTCCTGTATTTTGGCATCTTAGTTATCCTGCCCTATAATAATATTCTTTTATCAATAACAAGAGGTTTCCTCTTGAAAAATAACAAAAAGAAAATATTGAGCACAAAGAAATGCAGAGGCTTGTGGCCTCAGACAATGGGGGACAATAATAGTCACCAAGAAGCAGCAATACAAAGTTAAAAGTTTAAAACAACCACTAAAGTGGAAAACAACAAACCAAAGATGTACAATTGCTCTGCAATGCTGTAATCCTGTAATCTTTTCAATTCTCTAATGAAAGTTACCGTTTCCTATAAAAAAAATGCTGGTCCTGGAATAGCTCAGCCCTCAGCCCTCAGGGAATTTTTTTTCTAGAAAGATCATCGTTAAGTGACTCGGCCTCAATGGTCCATAATTGGTCCATAATGGGTGTCTCTAATCAAACAGATCACTAGCTTGGAGTCTCCTGCTTCCGTGATCCTCTCAAACTCCATGTAGAGAAAATAGAGATCTGACTGACCTCCCCATTGTGGACCTTCTTTTGGTTAATATTACTACCTGATCTATCACATACATTTGACATGATGAATGTTGAAGAAAGGGTTATGACAGTGGATTTGTTTTGGCTTAGATTTTGCCATCTTAGATTGTTACCTTAAATTTGATTGATGTATATGTTGTAAACATTTGGCCTATTTTCTTATTTATAACTAGGTTGAATTAAGGAGGGAGCTGGGAATGGATGAAGATCTTCCTGCTGTATTACTTATGGGAGGTGGAGAAGGCATGGGTCCAATTGAGGCTACTGCTCGGGCGCTTGGAAATGCATTGTATGACAAAAATCTTGGGGAACCAATAGGCCAAATTCTTGTGATTTGTGGCCGCAATAAAAAACTTGCAAACAGATTATGTTCAATCAACTGGAAGATTCCTGTTCAGGTATGCTTTGGGCTTAACTTCTATAAAGGGCCTCTGTTACAACTTTTACCATTTAAAACCAGTTCCTCTTTACCCTGTTGAAATTTTAAATGAATCAAAATTTCAAAGTGAAATTTGGGTAGGTAGTAATGTGGTTGCATCATTTTAACATTATAATATTTTATTGGGGTTGAGGTCTGACCTGCTGGAAACTGACCTGAACTTAGACTGAGTTGAAGTTACTCAACCTGAAGCCAAGTAAGTCCTTGCTGGTTAGCAAGGCCAAAATGTCAGACCTGAAACCAATATTTAAACTATATTGAGATTTTGAGTTTGAACTATAGAGAACACTGATCTGGTCCCCACTGTGTTCGTAGGACAGTATGTGCAATTATTTGTTTCAGTCATGTTAGTGTTAGTTGGTGGTCAGCTTGTTATTTCAGTTGTTATTTATTTCAGTTTGTTATTTGCTTTATTTGTCATGTAAGTATTAAGGGCAGATCTGTCCTTTCCTCTATGTACTGAACATAACCTATAAATACTAAGAGAGTGGCGGCGGCAGATCAATTGGAGAATCTGTCCCTCCTTTCAAATCTTTGTGTTCTCCTGTTCTTCTCCTCTCTTTTCTTATTTTCCTTACTTTTCTTCTACCTTTTCTAATCTGAAATCCATTAGGATTCAAGGCTGATTGTAGTCTTGATCGCCTACTTGAACCATTTCCTTCCTTTTTTATTTCTTTGGTCAGTGGAAGTGTTTCTTTTGTGTGATAATAGCTTGTTTAGAGATGGTAGTGCCAATTAGAATTTCCATGTCTGTTTATATTACCATAATTGCAAATTGCTTAGATCAGTTTGTTTCGAAACTCCCATGTCAATGTTTTCAAACCAGATCAGACCAGATGAAATTGGTTGAATCAGAATGGATGCATTTCCAGTCCAATGAGAACTGTGGATAAACTGGAAAATTTGAGGTTGAACTGCTGGTTGAAATGGAAAAAACATTCCCCCTTTCTGTTTTGATGTCTGGTCCAGTTTCAAGCCATTGGTCTTATCCAGATATATGGTTAGTCCAAGAGTTGCCTCCAAATAAGTGGTCAATATTGGTCAATGGTGGGGGAGGGGGGAGGGGGCAGTTGCATGGATGACATTCAAACTTAGTTCCTTATCATCTCACTGGACTACATTTTTCATCTATTACCTCTTTTCATTCAAAAAGTGGTTGTCTTATAGTAGAAATGGAATTCATTTTCAGGTGAAGGGATTTGTCACTAAAATGGAGGAATGTATGGGGGCCTGTGATTGCATTATTACAAAGGTAAATCTGTCGTGGATTTACTTGTTCTTCTCTTTTGAAAAATTTTCATATTTTTAGTTATATTTGTAATATGGCATCTGCAGGCGGGACCTGGGACTATTGCAGAAGCAATGATACGGGGCCTCCCCATAATTCTCAATGATTATATTGCTGGACAGGTAAGTTTGTTGGTTTTACTCTTATATTTTCTTGGGCTCTACTTGGAATGTGGGAATGGATTTCAAACTGGATTGCAATCTAATTCCTGTCATTCAAATGTCAACTTCCACTTGGTTATTTCAGTTCCAGTAATATGCAGAATTCAAAGACTAAAAATATGTATTTTGCCTAATTCATCCCCTCTGCAGAAATGGGCTCAAACTATGGAACATGTAGACTTGTGGCCTTGTGGAATTTATCCCCCCCCAATTCCACTGTCTATTCCAATTCTGCTCTGATCCAAGTGCAACCATAGTTCCAAACATCATGTTTTGGCTAGCTTTAATTGTACAAATTTATACTCTGATTGCTAGTAAGTTTTTACCTTCCATTCAAATCATAATTTCTTTCAAGGGAAAATCCTCACTCATAGATCACAGAGTCACAGTGATAGATAGGTCTAGATGTCTTTAAAGACCTAAAGCAAAATAGATCAATGCTTACCAAGGAAATTGTGAGAGTTGGCCACAAGATGTATGAGTTGGCACCATTGCAAAAAATACCAAATGCAAATATTTGCTCAAATTTGTTCCTTTTAATCCAAATTGTGGGTTTTAAGTAGAGATTTTATACTATCTCCAAAGAGTCTAATAGACTCGTATGCATATGTGAGACTTCAAAATAAACTCATGCTTAAAAGAAAATCTGCCTTAATTTCAATGATATACTTTTGAATTTTGACACATTACAACTTTACAAAGGCAACCATCATATATACAAAAAGAGAATAAAAAGAAGATAGAAAACCTTAATGGGTTCTTTTGTTGGCTTCTGTTGCCATATAACAAAATTCTATGTTAAAAAAAAGATAAGAGTCTTATTTTCACCGGTGATCTGAAATTAGGGGCGGTTGACCCAAAGCATTTTACACCGCTTAAGGCTTGGACCTTCGAGCTGGGCCCATTGAAATTTTAACAACCAACCCAAGCTTGAAGAAGTTGCACCCCTATCTGAAATAGCTGCCAGTTTTCACTGCTTTGCCTACAGCTAGAACTGTAAACAGACCAGATTTGGACTGGATTTAGATATTTTGTGATCTGATCCAGTTACCTAGTTTACAATATCAAGGTTCCATCTGAACAGGGTTGAATTGAATTTATATATGTTTTATCTTCAATCAAATCTCTTTCACAAAACTTGAATCTACAACTTCTTAGTTAAAAAACACAGTTAGTTGGATGCAGGTTACATACACCAATTTGTTAATTATGTATTTGTTTAATCTTATGGGATACAATTAATGTGGATTGGAATTTGATACAATTATAGACAGATTTACCATTACTTTTTGGATTAGTAGGTTTATATCTGAATCAATGATCCAATCCATTTGATAGCCCTATGGGTAGTGCATAGCATTTCATAGATTGATTCTTATTACAGTTAGCAGCCATTGCTTGGTAGATGGTAAAATCCTGGATGACAAGTCTGAGAAGGCTTGTTTCCAAGTCTGAGAGTAGCCACTTTATGCAGGTTAGGTCTATATCCAGGTCCACCCTTCCCAAGACCCCAGATAGCTGGGACAAACATTAAGTAATGACCTTGTGGCCTTATTATAGTTATTGATGGAGTGATTGTGCAAATCTAAGCTCATTCAGGAGGCCAATATTCTTTTAGAAGTTAGATTCTCTAATAGAAACTGTTCCTGAAGGTTCCCCTAAACATGGATGGACCTAGACTGTTAAAGGAACATTAGTGAAAGTTTGACTTGAATGAACCTCCAAGATGGCTGCTGAACCACGACATTCTTTTTAAGAACTGGATAGAGAGGAGATGACCTCACAATATATACTTTATCTACAAACTAGATTTGTTAACCCCTTTCAAATTCCTATAAATTGACAATGAAGATGCTCGAGACCATTCACTATGAGTTGGTAACTTTTACCCTCAAAATTTCATTTATTCTCTTTGCCCAAGATGACTCCACAAGACAATGGTATCTTGAAGTGCATACACAAAGCAAACTTGAACTGATCCTACAATATCTTCCTTTATCTTCTCTAGCATTGCACCATCAATGTATGGTTGTTTTCTAGAGCCTTCAACTGATCAAATTTCTTATATCCCTGTTTGCGTCACTATTCTATTACAAATTTCTTGTCCCTGTCTCAACAACTTAAAATTCTGCAAATTAAGTGCATTAAAAACTGAGATGATAATAGCAAAAAGTTCAACCTCTTGTTGGTTTGTTCTGGAATAACAACACACTGGGGATTTGGAAATATGGAAATCTTATTAGGGAAGATAGAAAACTGGCTTGAGAGAAGAATGGAAAATATGGAAATCTCCTTTCTTGCTTGAGAGAGAAGAGAGTCCTTCCATCCTATAGTTTTTGAGGCCACTCTTTCGTTAGTGTGATTGAACAATTGACACTTCCGAAATTTTGAACCTTGATAAAAAGAAGAAGAAGGTGAGAAAGATGGGAGAGGAGAGGAAGTACAAGCTGGCGGGGAAATGGAGACTGGAGTTGATCATTGAAGCCAAATCTTTCCTGTTTGAGCAGGGAAGGACAAAGGGGAAGGCTCACTTGAAAATCAGAGAAGGGAGCAGGGCGACGATTCTCCTACCAGAGGAGGCCTGTGTGTGGTTGAAAGGTTTTGTAGATGGAACTGTCAATTCCTTACGGGAAGAAGGTTGGAGAAACTCGTT